TCACTAGTAAAGTGCTTCATGCACACATAGCTCGATTTGGTGTTTAAAGCTCTGAACACATCGAAAACAACGCCACCACGCGACACGACATTAAGGATTTATCTACATTATCTAAACGCTTTGTCGACGGCGCCGTGATTTTTTAGAACGCAGCAGCGACATCAGCTGTTATTTGACATTTATTTTTTATTACAGAAACTTGGGAAACCTTGTGTTGCGAATTTGTATTTAAATATTTAAAAATTTCAGTTAAACTATTTAAAAATGAGCCATTCAGCCCAGTTAGTAAATTTTGTGGCTTCAGTAACCAAAATGACGCGCATTACGAGCGTTTTCATAAAGCAAGCAAGAGGAGGTGGTGGGTACGCCCAGTAAATTTGACTCGGGAGAAGGAGGGTTTCTATTTGACATGCGTCCAACAACTTAAATCCAAAGATGAGGAGCATTTCTATAAATCAACCAGAATGAGCGTTGCTAATTTCGATTTGTTGTTGTCGTTGCTAAAAGAAAGGTTGCAACGGTTCTCCAATAGGCATGCCATTAGATCCCGAAACACGATTGGCCGTAACATTCTTGTAAGTAAATAAATAATCTTCAAGACACGCATATTACGTTACTAATAAAATCCTTCTTCTTTGAATAATTGCAGTCACTGGCTCAAGGATGCAATTGTCAAATTCTAGCTAGGTTTGTCGACAGTTCGCAAAATTATTTACGAAACGGGCGATGCTATTTGGGACGAGCTGCATGCGATATACGTTTCACCTCCTTCACCAGCAGAGTTTGAAATCATCGCGCAAAAGTTTTACGTCAAGGCCGGAATGCCAAACTGCTTAGGAGCAATTGACGGAAAGCATGTCAACATAACCCGCCCGCGAAATAGTGGTTCGTTATATTATAATTATAAAAAAACCTACAGCTTAGTTTTGTTGGCAGCATGCGATGCAAACTACGTGTTTACCTACGTGGACGTTGGGGCCCTAGGTAGTCAAAGTGACGGTGGTGTTCTAGCTAGGAGTGCTTTTGGAAAACAAATATTAAATGGAACCATTGATGTTCCTAGTGACGCTAATTTGCCTGGTACAGCGGAACGTTTTCCATACTATTTCGTTGGTGATAGCGCATTTCCGCTAAAAAGTAATCTGATGCGACCATTTCCGGGCCACAGTTTACCAGCAGATAAGGACAAGTTTAATGCAACGTTGTCGAAAGCTCGCGTCCACATTGAAAATTGTTTTGGGATTTTGGCTAATCGTTGGAGGATTTTACACACCAACATACATGCTTGTCCGAAGAACGTAGACAAAATCGTTTTGGCCACAATTGTACTGCACAACTTTCTAATGTTACAACACGACAGAAATTATTTCACGCTAGATTTAGTTGACCGTTCAGATAATAGTCATGAGTATCAGGGTCGTTGGAGAAGCGAAATAAATCCGTTGGAATCAGTCCATCAAGGATTCGCCAATCGATCATCTTCCAACGCATTTCACTTGCGCAATAAACTTAAAGATTTCTTAAATAATAACAATGTATAAATATAAAAAAACTCGTATAAGTCGCATATATAATTTTTATTTTCATTCACAAAATCTTTTATTTTATATCGAAACTGAAATGCGTTAGTAGCTGATCGATTGGCGGACCATTGATCCCTTTCGTTTCTCTTGCGACTCTGATACTCATAAATACCCCAAAAACAACGTTCTTACCTTTTTCTAGTCCTTAATCCATATATACTTGATATTCTTGCGTACACTTCAAATAAAACTTTTAGTTAATAAAATTTCTAGTACAGATTTATTTACTAAATAACATTTAAACATTTTAATAAATTAAAAATAGTTGTAATAATAAAGCTACAAGCTAATCCAAAAATCTTAAATTTTGATATGGTTATAACAGTATAGTGCTGATCATAATTTTACGATACTCACATATTGAAAAGATTTGACCATTTATCCACATATTATTTACTTTTAATTATTTGTTTATAAAAATACAGTTTATTCAATTTTAGTACAATAAGGTGTAAGTTTAAAGTAGCTCCAATCTACCGTTTTTTTTGGAGTTTTTTTGTTGAAGGTGTTGCTCATTTTCTCCATTTAAAAAAAACATACTTTTTATGGAAGAAAATGACTGACATCGTCAACGAAAAAAAAATCTCAAAAATAAACGGTAAGTGGGAGCTACTTTAAGCTTACACCTTGTTGCACTAAAATTGAATAGGCTACAAAGTGCATACTCAAAAAATTTCTAGGAAATCTAATTAAAAAGGTTTATATTTTTACGAAAGTTTTTGATTTCTATTAATGTTGCACAAAGATTTAACCTTGGATTTATACGGTTTTTGTTAAGGTATAAACTGTGTTTTTATAAACAAATAATTAAAATATGTGAGTGTCGTAAAGTTATGATAAGCACTATATAAAAACGTGTATACATTTATTTATTCAATGGAACTAAGCGTTTAAATAAATAAAAAATAGTTGTTCCACAACCATGAGATCAGTTGCAATTTTTATATTCAATTTATAGAGGTAGTTGTACGTATATACATACATACACGTAGATATACATACGTATATACTAGCATATACACTTGTGGTCAGGTGATTAAGTTAAGTGATATTTTGACTAGTTTTGGCTATTTTGCCTTTGTTTATTTAATGTTTATAATTTTTTTTATAAAAGTCTAGCACATTAAATAACCGGCACCACATAAATCCGTTGGTTTTTAATAATTCTCGATCATACTTTATATGGGAAAAAATGCTCAACACCGTCAGCGAAAAAAAAATTATTAAAAACCAACGCGATTTTCTAGCGTCTTGAAATCGCCACTTTAACCTACTAAAATTTCATTGGCCATAAAACTGCATACCTAAAACTTTTCTACAATTTTTTAAAACGTTTAAAATTTTTGGGTGTAATTGTTAAAGTTTGTTGAGTTTTTATGCGAAGTTTGAAGTGTGGATTTATGTGGTGCCGGTTATTTAATGTGCTAGACTTTTATAAAAAAAATTATAAACATTAAATAAACAAAGGGAAAGTAGCCAAAACTAGTCAAAATATCACTTAACTTAATCACCTGACCACAAGTGTATACATGATCCATTTCCAACTTCAAATATACTACATATATTATACGTTTATTTATTATATGTGACTTAGAACAATTAGAAGCATACCAGAGGAGTATGCAGTTATTATTGACGAAAGATATATAGGTTCCAAAGGTAAGATTGCTTTGATTTTGATTAGTTTGGACATATATTAAACCATAGTAAACATGCAAGTATATACAAACATATATACTTACGTAGTTTAATATATACGTGTATGTACAAACATATTTGAAATGGGATATTGATAATGCATATATGCTTGTATATATTTCTTTATAAATATATACTATTATATCTGTGTCCACAAATCATGACAGATTAAGCCGAGTTAAGACAAAGTTTGGTATATATTTTAAAACGCTGCCAAAAATGAAGGAAACGAGGTAGAGCTTATATTCTTTAACACAAAGTTAGCAAATTTGTGAAATTTCAGTCCAGGACTAAATTATAAACAAAAGGTTCATGTACTTAAGAGAGTTAAACATTTAAAAACGAGTTGGGCTGTTATGACTTGTGGGCTCAGTTTTCCATTCCAAATATGTTTTTACATACACGCATATACTAAACTACGTACGTATATATGTTTGTATATACTCGCATATTTACTGTGTATGTACACATAAATATCGCCTAGCTATTTAGTTTATTCTGAAAAAATAAATTTGGAAATTATTAGAGGGGAAGCAAAACATTAAATTATTCTCTAATCATACCTATATACTCGGTATAAAATCGGGCTTCTAATGCTTCCGAGTGAGCTTCTATTTCCGAGAGTACCAGAGCGGAAACTTTGGCCTCAATCCGGTTCACTATACTTGTTGGCAAACCGGCTTCTTTCACATTTTGGCCAAACTCACAAAATGTAGCTCGGTTCTATCCTGCTCCTTTCCTCTCCACGCAGAACTCGGAGCAAGTTTGAGTTATGCTTGAAGCCGCCAGGTCGATCAACGCCTCGAATTTGTCCCGCTCGTCTTCCTATTTGAAAATGCAAATGTATATTATTATTTAAACAAGAATATAACAAAAAAAGGGTTAGTTCGTTAGTTCTCTATACAAAAAGCGGAGGAAAGTATATGCAGCAATTCAGACGAAATTCCTTTTACTTACATACATATGTGTACCTACATATGTATATGTATATTACAAATTCTCAATTAGGAAACAACCAACATCCACAAAATGGTTACTTTGGACACTGGTGATAGGGTCGATACGAGTTATTTGTAATTCTGGACACTGACGACACTGGACACTGTTAACAACTGGAAAAGTTTAAGATGACCGGCGCTAGTGCCACTAGCTACGTAGGAAACCCACTTCTACGAATCTAATCAAAATCAAAATAATCTTACCTTTCGTACCCGTGAACTAGACGGCGGTGTTTCTGCCGCTGTGGAGCTTTCTTCGTCAATAACTACAAGCTCCTCGGGTATGCTTCCAATTGTTCTAAAACAAATATAATAAATACACTTTTAAAACAGTATTTTTTAGCTTACAAATAAATGTACATGTACTTACGTTCTGGTGCTTGTAACATTGTCCAGGAAAGACATCGCCTCCAAATACCTCCACTTACGCCGAGGAGTTTCAGCACCGCTTCCTGATGTGGACAGCTCCATTCTTTTGCAGCGTTTATAGCAGTCTTGCAGCCCCTTCCACCGCTTTTTGCACATTGCCTCTATAAATTAACTTAACAATTAAGATAAACAAATTATACTTAAATTTTTAGTACCTACCGTCTAAATGAACATTTGAAGCGACCTCCCTCCAGACGAAGTCCTTCTTTCGCAGATTTTTATAATCTTCCAGGCCCAAATCGTATATTACTGGGCGCTGGCGCACTTCCTCAATTAAAATTTCATCAATTTCCATTGGTAAAACTTTAAAATGCTTAATAAAAAGAGCTTGTAAGAATTAGACGCGCGCGAAACAAAACAAATTGCGAAGCCAAATGACAATTTGCCCGAAGAAGAAGAAGACAAGCCTTTGTCGTCTGTCAAAATAGAAATAGATGTAATCTGGCTACAGCTACATTTTTGGCTAGTCGCAAGGTTGCCGTGTCGTCGCCAAATAATTATCTACATAAGAATACGTAGAAAAATAATTTGACAGCTGTGGTTCGTAGCTCGTCGTTTTCAATGTGTTCCGCACTTAATGCATAATCGCCGGCGGAACTTCTTCCACTTTTTCGCCAGGTTCGCGTCCGCAGGAAACGAAAAAAACTTATATCGCATGCTTTCCTTTTGTTTTCACTATTACACTTTGCCACTGTACACTTCATTTTGCTTTGTAATGTCTCAATAACTGTTTAAAACCCCGTAGGAATATTAACGCACAAATATTAAAATTGTTATTTGGTTTTTTCGTATGCTCACAATCAACAATTGTACCAAGATGACGTCACGCACACAGCTGATTCTGTCAAAATCACAAAGAGCGGATTAGCGGTACCGCGATTGGCGCAATCTCTATTTCTCTCAATCGTGGTACTTGCTATTACTCCGCCAAAGTAGATACTCTACTTTTTCTCATCGCGTACGAGAGATATTTGCTGCTGCCAAAAGGGTGTAGCCAAGGCACATTAAACAGGTAGTATCAGTAGAGCAAAAACAACATTTGCGTGTATTTTGTTGTTGCTTCTGGTATCGAAAGTGTCAACAACTGTTCTGAATTTTTTCTTCTAAATCAAAGCGTGCCATGTGAAATACAAAAAATTATAAAAAATAAAAAATTGAAATTGGAAAAAATAAAAATTGATGCAACTTTCTTTCCTAGTAAATTTGTTTGCTTCTCGAAGCATTGATCCATCCTTTGCAAGGCCCAGTAATCAGCGGTCGTGCTGCCGAGTTGGGCGAACGTTCCAAAAGCTGCTATTCAATCGCTCGTTTTGTATGGAATAAAAATATTTGAAATTTTCGAGACCAAATAATTTGAAAATAAATCAAATCAGCTGCTCTACTGATACTACCTGTTCAATGTACCTTGGGTGTAGCAAATCCAATCTCTGTATATTTGTAGTACTGTAAGTACTTGCGTATTAAATTTCAATTCTGGTTGTTATAGTAGGCTAACTGGCGCTGGTCAGTGAAATTGAAAGAGTAAAAATAGAATATGGAAATTGACGATGTAAGGAAATGTTTACGGCCTTATTTATAAAAAATAACGTAGACTTAGACAGTTGTTTAATGTGACATTTTCGTACAACTTTTGTATTCAAGCAGCTTTTTAAATCTATGTATGTACTTATATTTTAATGAAACTATTGTTTCTCGTTTCTAATTTTCTATAAAACTATTTGCAGTCATTAACCAACAAATGAGTTGTCAAAAACAACAACTTAAGCAATGCTGCTATACGAAATAAAATTATTAGTGGCAAATCACAATTTTGAAAAGTGCCGATTTTCACATTCGATAGTTGGACATGGTAGCGACGAGATGTACGAGCATTTTTTTTCTTAAGAGCTGCGTACTGATTTAAAAAATTTTTTATACAGCCGGGCTCCCATTTTCATTTACTTTTGCGTTTTGCGTTTTCGTAAAAATCGTACTTCGTTGCTTCGATAAATTTTCGTTGCCCAAAACGGAGATGTGTATAATAAATAGTGAATTAAACAATTAAATTAAAACATAAAAAGTTAAGTTTAGGACGCCAAATATCGCAAGATATAATGGGCATAATCAAAAATAAATTTAAAATAAGCTAGCTTGTTATTTATGTTAATTTTGCCGTTTACTCTTCATTCCACCGTCTCATCGGCAACCGATTTGAAACCGCAAAAATTTTCCGATTTGCGAATATTGGAGCACGTAATTTTGCGATTTGAAAACTAAAACGCAAAA